GTACGCAGAGTAGTTGCCGTCGCTTTCCACGTGGACGGAGAATGGCCGGACGCTTTCGCCGCTCATTTCGCGGCGTACCGATTGCCGCCTGAGGGGCTGGTTGAGAGCGAAATCCCGTTGGTCCGCAGTAAAGTGGTGCGCAGTGTAGTGAGGAGGAAGTTCGGAGTAGTACGAAACAGTCTGTCGTCGGGAATTGATGCGCAGACGGCGGCCACCGTGAAAGACGACGTCGCTGGCCCTTGGGGAGTTTTGCATGAGGACGGGGGCGCAGCGTTTGCGGTAGCGAAGAAGAGATGAAGCGGATGGTTCGGCCGTCGCGAGCTTGTCGTTGGCGTCGGGTCGAGCACCGTCGTCAAACGAGGGCCGGGAGGTGCCAGTCACGGAGGTGACGTCGGTGACGCCATCGGCAAAGGTGGGTTGCTCGGAACTAGCAGTGACTTCGGTTTCGCTCCTTGCCAATGGCACCTGAGCAGTAGTCGGAGGGAGCAAAAGATCGGCGGGGTCCATTTCGTTGTCAGACTCGCGGGCTGGAGCTGGGGCTGGTTGTTCTTCCAATACAGACTCTAGGGCAAGGTTCGGGTACATGGTGCGGATGATGCGCTCCTGCTCGGCAAGAAGTCGCCTGGCAGAAACATCAATGTTTTCGCTGCGGGGTCTGGCGCTGGGGGTGCCGTTGGATCCGTCGAGTTGTCGCTGACGGCGTCCGCGCCTGGGAATGCTGCGGTACCGGGGTTCGCTGCGAACATCTAGCGGCTGCGAAATGTCGACAGCAGTGCAAATTTGCTCCACCCAGTCGAGCATGTTGGCCTGCTCGCGGCTGCAAAACAGCAGCTGCTCTGTTTCAAGTCTGAGGCGGATGACGTGCTCCCTGATGGGCCAGAAAAGATGAGGATCGGTTTCGAAGAGAGATTGGCGAGCAGAGGGAGGAATAAGCTTGGCCAATGGCGAACGAGGAATGAGATCAGTCTTTTTAAAGTCCAGAGCCAGCCCGACTTCAGCATGTTGCAGGGAGTAGGTTTTGATCAGACGGCCAGGCAATGGCTTCTTGGAGCCTTTGCTAAAGAATTGGTGCTTGAGGCGGTAGATGCTGAGCATGGTTCCGCGGAGCACCACGTAGACTTCGGTCCAGTTGGCGAGCTTTGAGCATGCGGGCTCAAAAATGTTGATTAATTCGGCCTTGAAAGCAAGCGGACCTTGGAACTCAATGGCGCACGAGTAAGGTGGCAGGTGATCTGAACCGGGATTCGAGTCGGAATCTTGGAGGGAAGAAGCATAAGTGGGAGGCGTCGCATTTGGGTCCTGGGGTAGCGAGTGAGTGTGGAAGGTGTTGTGGTAGCCATAGCAGCTAGGCTGAGAAGTCCTGGCATCTTCCAGAGGATCCTGCCGCTGGTTCGAGGTAGGAGTAGATGAGGGAGACATGGCGGGGGGACGGCGGTGAAGTCGAAGGAGAGCAGCGGCCAATGCTGCAAGAGCCATGGCGGGCGGTTTTGGACGTCTTTTATCGGGATATGAGACTTGTCGCGAGCGGGACCGGGGCGTTCGTGGCACAGGGCGGCCTCGTAGACTACTCAGCAGTCGCACACATGGCGACCAAATTAGGGTTTTGGGATGTCTGGGATGTGAGGGTGGCGCGGCGTGGACCTGTGGCGCTGGGGGCTAGAAGGAGGAGGAGTGGCTAGCGGATTGGTATGGTCGAGGTCGAAGGAAGAGTGCGAATTGGATTTTGCGAGTGGTAAAGACGACGGGACGACGAGGCTTGAAATGGAGGCAAGTGGGTGCTTGTACAGTTATAGCATGGAGATGGTCTGTGTGGGTGTGCAGTCGGGACGCAGGTGACCCTGCAGGTGGACCGGGAGGGGAAAAGGCTCGAGTCGGTCACGCCAGCCAGCCAGCCAACCTGTGCTGTGCCTACTTACCACCTTGGTTATGCCATGGCATCCATTGTTTGTTCCTGGGGCTGACGCCGTTGCGGATGCCGTGGTCGAGCGACAATAGATGCTAATTCCAGACCGTTGGTTCTCTACAAAATACTCGCCGACGATTGTATTGTACCTGTCTGTCTTGTGGAGAGCCGAGCAACGGCATCCTCGTCGCGTTGCTTCTCCGCACGCACTTGCAGCCCTAACAGCCAGACTGAGAACAAACAAGGAAGACCAAGACCAACGACGCTGTGTCCCCACATAAACATGGATCGCTTTTCGCGCTGCAGCTGCACGAGCCTTTGGCATGATGGTCGTAACACCCACCTCTTTTGTTGTTGCTGTGACGTCTCTACCGTCCATCTTTTCCTCGAACTCCCTCGCTGACCCCGCTCACCACTCACCAGCCAAATTTCCACCCTCTCTCCCAGGCCCGCCGCCAACTCACCCTTCCCGTCGCCTCTGCCCGACAAAAACTTAAATGCTTGTCCTGGCGGCCCGCATCTCCATCTCCGTCCAATCACACCCCAGCCCATTCCGATGACTGCCAGGTTATCCACGTGCCCGCCCTGCACCTCACTCGACCACGAACGCTCTTCTTTTTTGTAGACTTTGACCATATACATATTATATTGTCCTGAACCTGCGCGACAAATGTCCGGCGCCACGCGACATTGCCGCCATGTGTAGCACCCACCCTTCATGTTTCCACCGCCGCTTTGTGGAAAACAAAGGCGACTGCACCTGACCACCCTCCCGCCGTATCTCGGCCTTTTCTCGACAATCTCTTCACCATCCATTGCATCACCACCTGCCGTCAGACTTTCAGCCCTCGCGTCCCACCATCCATCTCTTGGTCCTCTCTCCTCTCTCCTCACTCAGCACTTCAAAACTGCCTCCCGTCAAAAAATATCAACCCAGGTTCTCCCCCGTCCACTCGGGACCCTTTGATACGCTTAATTCTCCCAACTTTCCAGGATCATCCTGACGTCTTGACCGTTGGCTGTTCCAGCCCAGCGACCTGTCTACGCACATGACCTCTTGCCGCGTGCTGCTGGACCACTTCCCGCACCTCTGGTCTGGCCGGCCGAGTCTCGCAAACCGTGCAACCAAACGACGAGAATTGACCGGCCATGGAAAAAAAGACTTGCCACTGCCGTTCGACCCGACTACGACTCTTCCTGGCATGCGTGGTTTCTGCTGGTTGCTTCTTCTCTGGCCTGGTGCAGCCTGTCAGGCCATCGCTTACTGCGGGATCTCCGCCAGCATTTTGCATGTTCCATGTCGCTCACCACACCCCGATTCAACCCATCATATCCCACGCTCTGACGGGTAGGGCGCACGAGGCGCTGCCACAACCGGCCATGACATGACTGCGTTCCCAGCTATCCCTTTGACGTGTATACCATACCGGCGAGTAAGCTGATGAACTGTGCGAGCCACACCACCATCTGCCGTCAGAGTCGTGGTGGCAGTGGTACATGTACAATCCAGACCAATTTCCTGCCTTGCGTCTGCGCTTGCGCACCTCACAACACCACCGCTCCTCCAGCCACTCCCAACCGACCACCGCCCCGCCCCCGCTGTAGAGACGGCGACGACCGCCTCTTCAACACCAAATACGCTGCTCCATCCTGAGTCCATTTCCTAGCCTCAAGCAACCGCTACTCCTTACCAATTCCCCTCCAAACCACTATTGCGCCACGCCAATGCAACTCGTCCGGCTGATTGATCGCCTCCCGCTTCCTGCTACATCCACCGCTCCCATCATTCGCATCGTTTCCTCCTTGCCGCGGTTCAAGAGGAGGCAGTTTGGATCAACAGTCTGAACAGACACGTCAGCAACCGCTGCATCCGCAATCACGATCTTCGCCATCTCCCTCTCTTTCTTCCGCTCAACACCAGGGTACATGGCATGATCGGCATACCCGCGAGCCGACGACGCCCTCTTCCCTGTTGTCCATCAGGGACCGCCGGACGCCTGTCATGCCACCTCACCAGCCGCCCTGCCCGCCCACCACAGATCCGAGATCCGCGTCCTGGTAGGTGGAGAGAGGGGTAGGTGGGGAGGTATCGTGGGGTTGGTACCTGACTTGCTCGCGACGCGTCGCGTCGGTCTCCTTGCTCCACCGCGCGTACGCTTTCGTCTCGTCGTTTGCACTGCTCGACCTTCACCCCTCTCAATCCTACCCCACCTCCACTACTCCCGTCCATGTCTCGCTCATCCGTCTTCATCTCTCCAACACAAGAAACGGGGGTGTTCCTGCGGCTGTCCGTTTTTCCTCAAGTAAGCCCACCTCCACGTCTTTCCCCTTTCCCCCCTCCCCCTCCTTTCCAAATTCGTCCCGAAGCCGACGCCTCGCACCTGCTCGGGCCGAGCTGCTGCGCTGTTCTGCTCGTGACGGGAGTGTCGGAGCCAGAGACGGAGACGGGAGCATGAGGTTCCGTCTCCGTCCTCTCTGCCTCTTGTTTCTCTTCACGATGTGACATGACACGGTACATTGCGATGCCGTGGTGCGGTACGGACGCCACAGGGGCGTAGGTGTGCGTTGTCCTTTTTTAGGAGCGTACCGACGCTTTCCGCCCGTCTGCCTCGCGCCGTCTGCTCTTCGAAAAAGGGCGCTCGAGAGAAAATGGGGCAATCCTCGAACACCACGCGTGATTAGTTTCGCCTCTTCTGAGGAGGTGGATGCCAGGTATCGTGAGTGACTCTCCCGTCAAGCCTCCTGTTGGATTTGCGGCAGAGTGCTCGCAGGTCAGACGGAAGACCGGTCGATTCGACCAACGCCGCCTGCACCACTACAGTAGTGGTGGGTTGGTTGCAAAAGAAAGGCATGTATTCCTACTCGGAATATGCAGGACGTCCTTTTTGGGATTGATATTGATTGGCAATTTCTTTCGTCGCCACCCACTCACTGCCCGTGGTCCTATCCCATCCCGCTGTCAAGCCAACCAGCCAACCTCCATCCCAACACCTCCCTCTACCACGGTCCAGCACCACCTTCGCTACCACACAACCAACAGCCCACCAACCATCACCCACCCCATCAAATTACAATACAGCAAAAAAGAAACGAATGACAGGCCGGCCAGGACTTGAACCTGGGTCTTGCCAGAGACCGCAATGTATCGTAATACCGTAGCGGAGGCATATGTTTCCAACTACACCACCAACCATGCTAGGCAAGGCGAACGTGTCGCTTCATGTACTGATGCGACATGCAGCACGCAACGACGCACGCCGAGTAAACATTGTTTGATTCAGTCGTCGGTTGGCAAATGGAATTAGCCCATGCAAAATGATTTCATAGTCTCACAGCCTTGGCTCTGAGATTGGACAAGGCAGCTCGGGTCTGCAAAAGATGGATAAGTCTGCGATCCCACTCCCTATTTCCTCTCTGTAAAGACATGCCGCACAATGTACTGTACGAATGTATCGACCCACTCCCAATCCACCAACCGCTGTAGGCATATCCATGCTGCGACTGAGAACTTCTGCCCCTGGATTGGAAGACACATTCTTTTGGAAAATGGGTATAGCGACAGGACCCAACAGCGACCATAAACAGCCAGCCAGCCATTCGCGAGCGAGCGAGCGAGCGAGCCTCCTCTAATTCATCGATACAAACACTAATCCGCCCAGTTCTCCTTCAAGCTCTTCTTCCGCCTTCCATGTCAACCGCTCTGTCAACACTACCCACACAACCCAGCTCCATTACCACTTCACAAAGACGCAACACCCACACTGATACTCGCTGTCCACCATCAACCTAGACCGTCGTAGAGCCCGTCTCCCACCACGGGCGGGCCTGGCGCTGCGGCGAGCAAATGGGCCGATCCTGGATCGGCAGGGGTTGCCACAACAGATCCAGGGGCGAGGGCGAGCGCCGCAGCACGACCTCCACGTCCTCCATGTGCATGCCCACCGCTGCCGGTGTCTCTACTTGACCTTTGGTAGCAGTCCTGCCGTTTTCCCCAATGATGGGCGAAGGAGCCAGACTCGAGGTGCGGCAAGGAACGTGCATGTTGATGTTCGCGGCGCGCAGCCAGGCGTGGCCACTACCACCGGACAAGGCGCTCGGAGGCGAAAGGCGACGATGTCCCTGAAGGACGTCGATGCAACGGACGAGGGACGCGGGGAACAACCTAACTTTGACGGCTACCGCCGCGGCAGCGGGCTGCATTGACTGGAACAAGCTGATGCCCGATGAGGAGCGCGACGATGGCGCTGTCGAGGCGCTGTTGGGAGTCCTAGTGCTGTTGCTGAAAAAGGTGTTGTCGGCAGTCGTGTTGTAGTCGCTGGTCGAAGACGATGTCCAGAATTTGCTTGCACTCCTCGAGATGTGGCCTGGCGGACAGGGGGTTGGAGGGCAGAGAGCAGACTTTGAGCTGCCTACACCACCGTCACCTGAAGGAGATGAGATAGGGGAGAAGAAACGGCGGCGTTTGTGTGGATTTCCCTGTGGCGCTGATACTGGCGATGATGATAGAAATGCGGCCAAGTCTCTCGGTTCTCGTCCGCCTCCTCTCCTCCTCTGAGCCTGCCTTCCCGCTGCCACAGTCTCGCACAGCGATCTGGAAAGAAAGTTTCCTTCCTCGTCGTCCGTTGTAGTTGAGTCTGGGACCTCAGTTTCCGCTTGCTCCAAGGTAGACGGGCCCGCAACGTCATCAAAATCCTCGTCCACCTCTTTAGACGAAGTGCGCGATGGCGCTCTTGAACCAACAAGTGTTGTGCAGCTCGAACAGAAACTATAAAGCCTTGAGTTCAATTTGTCCACACTGTGAGAATCACTCGTAGTTCCTTCAATGTTGCCTTCTGATTCAGATGGGCGCTTGGGATTCCGGAGAAACCTTAAGCCAACGCTGCAAGAAACACTCGAAATTTCCTCCGCGCTCCCTTCAGATTCAGAGGAGGCGTTGGGATTCAGGAGTCTCCGTGAGTTCGATCTGCTCACGTTGCGAGAGGCCCTCAGAATTTCTTCCACGCTCGTTTCGGATGGGGAGTCTATGTTTCGATGAATTACAGCGTGAAGATATGAGCTGTCGAAAACACTGTTGCGTCCCGAGTCCTGGTCCGAGTCCCCCTCAGCGGCATGTTCTTGTGTCAGACATTCTTTTTCTGGCTGCTGAGGTTGGGAAAGACGTGATTGTCCTTCGCGCATCCAGGCTGCGTTTCCCGATGCTTCATAATGTTGGAAATTCGGCCAACTTTGAGGGAAGCCAAAGCCGTTCGAAGTCATGGGTTCCGCTGCCTCCAACTGCGGTGGTTGGGAAATCTGTGACTGTCCGTCTTCCACTGGAACTTCGTCGCCCAATTCTTCGGAGCTTGGGTCATTCCGCCGACTTTCAGACACAGAAAGATTTCCAGTCACAGATTCCCCTGCTTCCGATTGCTGTGATGAAGAAAGCTGCGAGCTTTCATCGTCATGGTCCATCTTGACTTCGTTTATGAAACCTTCGGATCTCCGGCGAAAATGCTGTCTACAGTCTTGCCTTTGCCGACGCTTTGGAAGAATCGAGACACTTGAAAATCTTTTGCGGAGCAAAGCAAAATGATGGCGGCGACCCTTGCGAACTGGAGACACTTCCACGCTCAGATGTGGACGGACCCAGGCCCCGTCCACGTCCATGTATGCCATGTCCTTATCGGACGATTTGCCTATGTGGACCAACTTGCGAAGGAAGTTCTTGGACTTGCGACTAGCAAGTGTGAGCCGAGAGACTGAGAAAGGGGAAAGTGGAACTTACACGACTGAGTCTTCAAAAGCACCGCCGCGAAGACGTGGAGGACCCAACTGGTAACCTCCACTGTGCGAATCAGTCCGTGCAATACGTTGGTCTCCAATTCCGTGTTGCTTGGGTGTGATCGGGAGCGTCGAGCTTTCTGTGAAGGAACTTTCTGCCAAAGGACTTCCAGAGCTCCAGGATACCTCGTCTTCACTCTCCAACGGCGTGTAGACGGTATTGTACCAAGCGAACTCGTCGTCGGCATCGCTGTCATCCGACCAGATATCGCCGGACAGACGGAAATCAGGAACCTCGTCCTCCTCGTCCTCCTCGTCATCTCCTTCTTCTGCCACCGATTCTGCCGCCGGGGACTCCATGGGTCGTCCGATGCCGTGAACGGCGTACTGCTCTCTGAAACAGCCCCATTCTAGGACCTCGTCGTATAATTCTTTTGCGAGGGACTCTACGATGGACTCTACCACGGGCCGTCCGATGGCGTAATCTACGTCCTGGTCATAAACCTCTTCGGCGACGGACTCCACGGGCCGTTCGATGTTGTAAACGGCGTACTCTTCCCTCATGTCGCCCATTTCAGGATTCGACGTCGGCCACCGCTTGCGCCGCGAGGAGTACTTGAGCCATGCTACATCTGTCATCAGCGGATCCGATGCGGCCGTGTCGCTGCGCTTGACGCGACACGATCCAAGGATGTTGGGAGGGTCGGTTGGTGGTGGGGAAGCCGGCGGTGCCTCCTCCGCTGAGAGTAGTGATGACCACGCTGAGGATGATGATTCTGTCGGGGAAACGATGATGATGAATTGTTCCTGCATAGTGGATATGGTAAACGATCGTCCGCCAGATGTGTGATGCTCGGCTTAAGATGATGGTAATGGATGGGCTGAGCGCCCGGGCGGGTCGGCGGTGGATGTAGCTGCTGCCTCAACTTGTTTGCTCAGGGCAGGCGCGATCCCACGACCATGTGTCGTTTCTGTTTGGGCGTGCTGATTGCTCTGCGGTTGCGGCATTCAGCTGTGGCCCTAGAGTGATCTGGAAAGCAGGTAGGCCTTCGTATACCCCAGATCGACAGAGAGCTCTCAATCGCCTTCCTCAACCCTGCTACTCGATGTACTTTGACGAACACTCGGTCTGCATCCTCGCTCGCTCGCTCCCTTCCCGTCCATCCACTTCCCTGTGGGTTGAAGTGGCCAGATAACAAGTGGACTTTCAGGCTTTAAGTCGTCATGCGTGAGAGCATAGATGAGGCGAGAGAGCAACTGCGCGAGCAAGGCCTGGTTGTTCTCCCTCAAGTGCTTGCTTTCATGTGCCACGACTTTTGCTACCAAGCCTCAGAGCAAGGAGTAGGTGAATTGCTAAGTTCTTCTCCTATTTCCCCCTCATTCTCTGTAGTCTTGGTCATCTCGCATAAAGCTATTACGGAGAAGAAGTTTGCACTTGATTTTCGGGCCAAATATGTCCCTGAGGAGTCATTAGACGAGAAAACAAGTGTGTGAGAATAGTTTAAGAATGAAGTGAAGTGGAACCGGAAAACAAAAAGTACGTTGACACCTATGGTAAGGGATGAGGGGTAAAGAAGAGGGAGGAGTCAGGGGGTAACCTGTTGGTGTGAGGACGAGGGGTGGTGAAAAAGGAGAGAGGTAGGCGGAGACAGCGTTCCCGCGTCTCCTCGCTTCTCGTCCTAGAGTAAATTTCGTGTACGATGCATTGGGAGCTACCGCCAATACTGCTGCCTTCTCCTTTGAATTGTCATAGCGATGTGGGATTTGGCAGGACATGGAAGCGTCGCCTTCACGGCCTCCTCCATGCTTCCTATCCGTGCCATTATCAAGTCCCAACGACTTCCCCGTGCACGCCGCCATCAAGCACACCATCACACCCATCAATCCCGCGCAGCAGCGGAACCGCCCGCCAGTTCCCCCGCCTCGACACCCATGCGCTCCTCCCTCCCCTCCGCGTCTTGGCTCCGCGTCAACAGCCTCCCCATGTCCGCGCCAATCAATCGCCCTCGACCCCGCCCCGCCAATCGCTCAATCTATCAACCTCTCCCACGCCATGTCAACGCGCAATCAACATCAGTCAGCTCCTCCGCAAAGCTTGACTTTCTCAAACAAACGATCTACGAAGCTGCAGCACCCCAAGACCTGGCCGTCGCCCCATGCTATCCGTTTCTGTCACGCCCAGCTCAGCGCCCAGCTCAGCCCAGGCCTGTTTTCGACGTCGTTATCGACGACTGCACACCAAGATAGGCGCAGGGCCGATTGCGATTGCGCACTTTGCGGGGTGGGAACGATGAGCTTTGACGCACTTTGAATCCATGATGATGACGCGTGTGGAGAAATGTGAACTGATTGGACGCGCGCGGGGTAGAGTGAGCGATAGCCTCTCAACTCAGTCCGCAACACAAAAGGTGCTTATCGTCGTCACCCGTTCGT